TGGGGTCACCCCGGGCTGGGGGCGGTGCAGTTGCTGGGGCGGGGGGCGAGGGAGGTGCTCGGCTTCTGACCGGCATCTAACTTTTTTGTGAGAATGTGGGTTGTGCAAGTCACTTCAAAAATCTGGCTACATAAAAAGACTGTAATAAGGAAGCTATGAATGCTCACTTCCTAAATGTCTTATCATACATGCGAGTTTAATTCTAAAAATTTCTGTGTGTTTTTAGAAAAATATTCTGTATTTACAGAAAAATTTCTGTATTAAACGATTGTCTTATTTGCACAGAAACACAAATGGTAACATCCGAAATGACTGAAAAATGTTTTTCTTGATGTTCTCTTGAGTTTTCCTGAAAGGCACTCTGAATGCTTCTGTCAGCTGTCCAGTTTCTGTGTCCTCTGTTGTGTGCCACCTTCCTTAATATGTTGTAATAGGTTTTAGATAATAATTATAGCTATCTACATTTATGCAGGCAAATACAAATTGTTTTCTTCTAATTAAACATCTCCTGCCTAGTTTTTAAAAGAGAAGACTAGATGCACAACAAATCCTAAACCGCATGGACTGAGCAGATTAAGTGATCCCTACAAGTGCTTCTTTAAAGAGAGTTTAAGGATGCAGAAAGGAAAATCAGGACACTGCTTCCAGTGGAGCTCTAAACTTCTGCAGACTTGTAAGTTCATGTGCAGTGCACTCCACTTGCTTTGTTATCTTATGTAAAGGTGCACGTTTGCTTGAGCCATCAAATACTAAGTGCTTGCTTCTGATCTGAAGCTCCTACTGAGGCCTGTTGTAAGACTGGGAGGATAAGCTGCTTAGTTTCAAACAGAAAAATCATTCTTTTGCTGTTTGCCAGGAGCGTTTTAATGTATAAATATGTGCAGTGATAACTGTTTTGAAAGAAAGAGGAGAAGTAAGAATATAATTAAGCTTTATGCTTCCCTTTTTATATAGAAAGCATTTAAATTGTTTCTGTTGAATACCTTATTTTATAAGAAGATTGGCAGAAACGTTGCATAATTAAAGTAAGTGCATTTGCATTGTTACCATAGGACCAAGAATTGTTCTTAAAACATGAAATTCAACTTATGCACTATCAATGAAAGTACCACATAAGAATAAAAGTCTGATTTATATCAAAACAAGTTTTTGTGCTATTCCTCTGACTGTAGTGGCATTTCATCTATAGTGAGTAAGCATACTTCTATTTTAGAAAGATCCAATGTTTTTTGGCATTGTGCAATGCAAAAAAGGTATATTTCTGCAGAGGCAGCATCAATTTCTGTTCTGAGAATATTTGTATAACATTCAAAAAGCATTATTTTATCAGCATAATATTTACTAGATGAAACAGTAACTTTCCTGTGACCTTAGTAATGGAGTATGGTTCAAACACTCCTAGAGAAAACTTGTGGGAAGAAAAAAAAATACAAATACATATAGTATTTTAAATTTTATAGATAATTCCCCAAAAGTATCATGTAGTGCTATTCTGTACCTAATTTCTATTTCACTGACATAGAGATGTGTCTTTAGATTGTCCAGAAACAAGTCCATCCAGAACATATTTGTTTCATGGTTCAAAATTCTGTAGTGTATCACATTAAAGTAAATGAAAAACTAATCTGAAAACTCTATTGTTAATTTTAACACAGACATAATTAGTTCTCTGAAGGTTACTGAGCTGTATCTGTCTTCTTTGTACATGATGTTAAATGGAATGAGTTTTTGTTTCACAGAACAGTATACAAGCACGTAGTGGTTTGTAATTGAGTCTTTTGAAATTGTACACATTCTGCCTGCACAAAACACTGCAGATTCACAGTACACAATAATCACCTCACAGAAGTCTGCGTAGCTTCAAAAAGGCAGTTTCTGTGCTTGTTAGGAAGGAAGAAGAGATTTGCAACCCCGTTGTGAACATGTAGGGAGTAACTAGTTCAAATAAGATTTAGATAATCATCTTGTGTGCATAATAGACTTTTAAGCCTCATTTATTCCTGCGTATTTTGTGTCGAAACCTCTCTTTTTAACTGAGATTTAGAATGATGAGAAATAACTGTCTGGGGGTTAGTCACTGAATTTTGGGTCCCTAGAACTTCACAGAATTATCAAATACCCTGTTGGAAGGGACCTCAAGGATCATCTGTCCGATCATTCTTGGCAAAAGCACTGTCTAGACAAGATGTCCCAGCACCCTGTCCACCTGAATCTTAAAATTCTCCAGTGTTGGGGAATCCATCGCTTCCTGGGAGAGATTATTCCAGTGGCTGATTTTTCTCATTGTGAAAAATTTTCCTCTGGTGTCCAATCAGAATCTCCCCAGGAATAACCTGTACCTGTTACCCCTTTTCATGTGACTCCTTGTAAAAAGGAAATCTCCATGTTGTTTGCAGCTACCTTTTAAATACTGAAACATAGTGATAAGGTCTCCTTTAAACCTTCTCAATGCTGAACAAACCCAATTCTCTCAGCCTTTCCTCACATGACAGGCTGCCCAGTCCCTTGATCATCTTTATGTCCCTCCTCTGGACTCCCTCCAGCCTGTCCACAGCTTTTTTGTACAGTGGGAACCAAAAGAGCACAGTATTCCAGGTGTGGCCTGACAGTGCTGAGTAGAGTGGGATAATAAGTTCTTTCTCTCTGCTGGTGATGCCCTTGTTGGTGCAGCCCAGCATCCTGTTGGCTTTCTTTGCCACTGCAGCACACTGTTCACACATTTTGAGCTGCTTGTTCCCCAGGACCCTGGGTCCCTTTCCACAGAGCTGCTCCCCAGCCAGGTAGGTCCCAGCCTGTGCTGCACTCCTGGATTGTGTTTTCCCTGGTGCAAGACCTTAAAATTGTCGTTGTTGAACTTCCTAAGGTTCTTGTTAGCCCACTCTTCCAGTTTTACTTAAAGCATGAAAAGTACTTACATAACTTTGATGAGTTTTATCCTTTATTGTCAGTTGCAAAGTCTTCCAGAGCATTAGACAAACTTTTATGATGTCTTTTAACAAGTGGATCTTGTATTTGGTGTTCTGAGATACCTTGTCTGAGAAACAGTCAAAGATTTATGCTTATATAACTTTATTTTATTTATACATGCTCTGTTTTTCTCACATCAGAAACTCTACACTTAAAAAAATAAGGAAACAGTGATCTACAATGAACAGACATACAAAGAAGAATGTACTGCTCTGGACTTGTATGTATGTATGCATTTAGATAGACTTAAAAAGTTGATGGGAAATAATCTGTCGGTGCCAGTCACACTGGTGGCAAGAACACAGGTTTTTTTGCTGATCATAGATGATTACAGAATGCCAGGAATGTTCTCATCAGGGGGAATTCTGAAGTAATTCTAGAAAAGGTTTAAGACTTGATCATAGTTCGTGTAATTCCATGGAAAACTGCCATTTTTGATACAGGGTCACTGAGGCTAACAGAAAGGGATAGGAAAAATCAGGGGCTGGAAAGGGAAGCTGTGCAT